TTTAAAACATAATTAAAAACTTTTTGATTGCAATAAATAACCGGATATTCAGTGTTCAAGACTTGATCCAAATTCTCGGTCTTATAATTGATAACCCGATGACAACCCAACTCTTTGAGGAACTCCTGTTTCTTGTCGTTAGATGTGGTGGCGATTACGTGACAGCCCTTCAGTAGAGCCCATTGGGCGGCGATATGTCCGACACCTCCGCCGCTGCCGTAATCAACACTTTTTCTCCTGAAGCCAAATGCGAGCCTTCGGACAGACCTATGGATGAGTCAAACCACTGGTGCCGAAGAGAGCCAAGTATTCCGGGTCTGGCTTTGGGACGACTGTCAGGCCGTCAGCAGACGTCACATACTTTTGGGTCAAATGAACGGCGAGTATAGTAAGGGTTAGAAAGTTATATAATATAACATTAATTATAAATAATTAGCAAGGTAATCACCAAATACTCTGAATATCCCCTTATTTGACCACTACCACATTTGACAACCAGGTACTGGCCGACACTGTAGTTCTTGATAGCACTTCCAGTCTTAACAATTAGTCCCAGAGCCTAATCAATAAGTGAAATATATTAATGATAATTGAGATATAGTTATGAAAATTGTGGTCAAATCTGAATCATTACTTCAATCCCCAGAGGATAGGGCGGGTCCGAGTGTTTGAAATAGCGTCCGGCAGTGATGTTCAGATCCGTGGCATTGATGCCCACAAAGAGATTCTTCACAAGTATTTCATCACTTTTGGGATCCACTAAAGGCAGGGAAACTATTTTAGTCGCCTCAGCGAAGTCGGTCGAGTAGTTGAATACTTGGATCTGTTTGTAGTGACTGTTGGTCGACATTCTTCGTATGGCGTATGCGTTGACACAAACTTTGGGAAGTTTTGCGTTTTTGTTAATTACAGACAAATATGTTATGAATTTTCTGCCAAACATTGACTTAACGTGAGCTCAAGAGTTGCGTTCAATTTATATACGAAATGAGGTTTAGTTTGAAAATAGAGTTCATTTCATGAAAACAAATTGAAGTATGAATTCAATTCAATTAAAGTGTTTTAATCAAAACATTGAATGCGAGTCGACTCACTACTGCATGTCCTGGATATTATCGGTCCGGCTTACTATTATTAAGCCAATTACCACAGAGTGAATGATAATCAAAAAGTTTTGGTATATTACTAGTTATTATGCTCGTCCTGTATATACCGTAGTAGTTGTCCTCAATTAGTACTCAAGAGTTAAAAAATACTTACCCTGGACTTCACAATACTGTATTTCATCAGTATACTGTAAACTAGTATAGTTATCTCAAAATATTAATTATTTCATTTATATAACTCTTGATGTTAGCCATGAATTAACAAATTCAATGTATAAGTAAAATCTTATCAATAGATATAATGCAATATTTATAATAAAAACTTTATAATACTTAAAACTATAACACAAAGAAATGTACAGTATTACATACTATTTATATCAATTGTATACTATTTGTATCAATCAATCAATTTAATTACACTAATATTGCACTAATAGTGCACTCCAATAGTATAGCCATTACTACAGTACTGAATCTCATACTATAGATATAAGTCAAATGAATTTCAACATTAATAGCAATTTATTGTGATTTTAGCTAAAAATATACACAATTTATAATCGACTTAATTATTAGTCAACAAATTACCGGACTTTGTGTCTCTGAATAGCGGCCTTTTCTCCTTCAAATGTACGGCCAGTTTCACGTATGTCTGTCCACTCGGTGGAGGGAATATCATTTTGGACGTCTCCTCCACAGTAGTCTCAGTGCACAGGCTTTTGGTTAACATTATCTTCAAATCATAGCAGCATTTGTACAGTAATACTAAGACAACCAGTAATGTGAGGAAAGGTATGATAACGTAATCAAAGGCCACTATAATTGTCGAGAACCACCACTCGGTGTCCAAAATCTGGTGATAATTACGATCCAAATGAGCGTTGAATTCAAATGACTTATACTTTCATTACTTATGAAAAAGTCTAAACTTTTCATTTCTACACTCAAACTATAAA